TCTTCTAACCCCAAAAGGTCAGATGTCATCTTTCAGCTGCTCTTTGGATACACAACTTAGCTGGTTTCTCCCATTCCCTTGTTTTACTCTTCTAGGCCTGACAGCATCACCTGTGGCAGCTTTGTGGGCATGCTAGAGGCCACAGCCTTATCTCAACAGCATCTCCTCTGTATCTTGCAATAACCCCGGAAAACATCACCTCATTTTAGCATAGTCTCCAAAGAATTCCAATTGAGGGACACTCAAAGGGCATTGGAGAGCCATAGGATAGTTTTGATGAGACAGCAATACATTAAAAGGGAGGAATTCATATAGCAAAAGCAGTGTGAAGGGTGCTATCTGAGAAATGCTTGACAGAAAAGATATGATGGGTCCATAAAGTAGCAGGAGTTAAGGACAGACAAACTTGGCACTCTCTTGTAATTTAATTCACCCTATTGTAATATCAAGAGAACAAAAGGAGAGAGAGACCAGTATTTTGGGCATTTGGCTGGACCAGATTTATGAGGGAATTGGATTAAAGTCCCAAAGAATGGGCAGGAATGGGTGAAGTGCCATCTGCATCACTAAAGGGATGAGATTGAGATGCCAGTGGAGGGCAATAACTGATATTCACAATGATAACTGTGAGCTATCAAATTACATTTGGTACCTTCTAAGTTTTATCTACTATGCAATACAGTTGATCAAGAATTCTATTAAATTACATTTGGAAGGTAAGAGATAGTAATCTGGAAAATTTACTTATGTGGAACACCTGATGATGCATGATAAAAGAAGAATTATTATAATAACAGCCACATGGCATCTAGAACATTTAGATGCTTTATGGAACCCAGACGAATGCACCTCACCAATAGTAATATTTCACAGTAGGTGGTGCAGTAGATAGAATGCCAAGCCTGTAGTCAGGAATATTGTTGTTCAGTCGACTCTTTGTGACTCTATTTGGGATTTTCTTGGCAAAGATACTGGAGTGATTTACCATTTCCTACTCCAGCTCATTTTACAGATGAGGAAACTGTGACTTTGCACAGCCCTCCCTCACTTAAATCCAATTCACTTGCAAGTCATGAGAATGAAGGACAAACCACACACACACACACACACACACACACACACACACACACGATGCTCCCAGACCCTTAAGTTCTTGTTCCGTTTGTCTTCTTCTTTAAAGATCAACAGCCCCAACTCCTTCTGCATTTCCAAGTAAGATTTACTTTTCATCCTTTTGATCATTTTCGTCCCTCTGCTCTGAACCATCTCCATTTTTAAAAAACCCTTTTAGGAATCCAATGGCTAAAACTGAGCACACTGTTGGGTTGTGTCTACAGTGTCAAAATAAAATGCATTGATTAAAAAACCCAATCAACCAAAAGCATAAAGTTATACTTTTCAAATCTCAAAAGTAAAATTGGGCACAATCCAGAACAACATGACAAATGGTAACCATTGCAGATTCATTTTGAGTCTCCACACATGAGACATTGTCTTAAGGCTTTTTTTTTTTAAAAAAACAATACCACCAGCTATCTCACATTGAACATGTGACCAACCTGAATCCTAACACAGCCTGCAACAACACAGGTAACTAAAAGCCACTTCAGTAATTACAATCTCTGTCTTTATAATGAGAAAACTAGTGTTCATTGGCCCCTACCCTCAAGACTTGGGGCGCAGGATGCATTGCTCTAGAGCTCTTCTTCCCCAGGTCTGAGAGAACAAAAGAGGCATAATTTTCAGAGAGACATCTCTCTGACTGTCTCTCCAAATGCCTGGGTGGCTTTTTTTTATACTATTCTGTCATTGTTGTACCTTTCTACTTTGTCTAAATTAGTCTGTCCAGAGCTGCAGGGTGTAATGAAGAGCTGTAAGTATGTAGACAGACTTAAATATCACAAGAACCTAAAAAGTTTTATAGGTCAGCCTCTTGCCTTCAAGGAGATGATCTCACTAGGGGGTATAAATACTCCTGAAAAAAGTCATGACAAGTACTTCTAAGATCAAAAACTTTTTTATTTTGGCTCCTAAACTAAACCCACAAGTACTTCACATGACTAATAGTGAAACTAGGACTGTTGATAGCAGATAAGCACTTTAAAAAAATATATTATCCTTCATTCTTTCCCCCTTTCCTCCAAGTCTCTAACAATGAGGTGACCCTGACCTTGCCAAAACCAACCCCTCTCCACATACCCTTGAATCCAGCCTCTCCAACAGATTGCAACTTTAAACATTTTCACTCTCTTTCATTGTCTTCCTATAATCTTTCTTCCCTTTCTCAGCTAAACTAGAAAAATCTGTCTACACTCATTTCTACTTCCTTTTTACTCCTCAATCCTTTGCACTCTGTATTCCAATAACAAAACTTAACTGAAATGGCTCTTTCTAAATTAATTGTCAGATCCGATGGCCTTTTCTCAGACTATTTACACTGGTGACCACCTTCTTCCCCTGGATAATCTCCCCTTGTTGGGAGTCTATGACACTGCTTGTCTCCTGCTTCTCTATCTGATTAGCCATTTCTTCTCAGTACCCTTGGATGTCTCATCAACCATATCACACTTGATTGGGGTTATTATCCAAGGCTTTTGTCCTGGGCTTTATGTTCTTCTCTCTATATACTTTTTCTCAAGAGCTTACTTATCATCTCTATGCAGATGACTCACAGATCTAAATATTTATTAGTTTTAGTTTCTCCCCTGCTTCAGTCCCTCATCACCAATAGCCCATGGGACATTTCAAACTGGGTGTCCTAGAGAAATGATAAACTAAACCTCTCTAAAACAGAACTCATCTCCTTCTGTACTGAAACCAACAACCCTTTCAAAATCCCCCCCCCTTTTTTTTGTCAAAGGCACCATTTAATCATCCAACCTCATGGGTTTATAACCTCTGCATTGACTCAACTGATTCCTCATTCTCCCTCACCTCATGTATCAAATCTATTGCCAAATCTTGTCATTTCTACCTCCACACATCTCTCACAACAGTTTCATCCTCTCTGCTCTGGTGGCACAGTGGATAGAGATCAGGAGTTAGAAAGTCCTGAGATCAAATTTGGTTCCAGACACTTACTAGTTGTTTGACTCTGGGTAAGTAACTTAATTTCTGTTTGTCTCAGTTTCCTCAACTGAAAAATGGGGATAACAGTATCTACCTTGCAAATGAGATTATAGTTGAAAAACATTTATGTATTTGGCACATAGTAGGGATGAAATAAATGTTTCTATAGTAGCCATAATATAAATGCTTCCCCATTTTGCCTCTACTCATCAGATAGCCACAAATCAAAATGTCTTCTCCTTGCAGTTAAATTAGTCCAATGGCTTTCTAACTGCTCTCCCTATCTTAAATTTTTCCCCACTGTAGTTCATCCTGCACATTGTTGCCAAAGTGGTTTTACTACAGTACATGTCCCCTACTCAATCAACTCTAATGGCTCCACATTGCTGTTAACATCTAATATAAATTCAATTTAGCTTTCAAACCCCTTTACAACCTGCATCCAACCTATCTTTACTGTCTCTTTGGGCATTACTACTGCCCTCTCACTTTGCACTGCAGCCAAATTGACCTTTTCTCTTTTCCTCATTCATGGCAGTTCATTTCTGGTCTTCTATGGCTTTGTACTAGCCATTCCTTATGCCTGTAATATACTCTTCCTTTACCTCCATCTCAGAGTCCCTCTCTCCCTTTAATATGCAGTTCAGGTACCTCTTCTATGTTAAGTATTAAAATATATACACATAAAGACACATAATAATATATACATGTGTGCATATATTGGTATTCAATTCACATTTATACCGTATATATTTTTATACATACTTTATCCCCATTAGAATATAAGCTTATTGCACTGTTTCATTCTTTATACTTGTATGCTCAGTGCCTAGCAGAGTGCCTGAATATAGCAGGTGCTTAGGAATCCCTATTCATTAAATGTCTGCCAACAGTATTTCAAATGAGGATTTTTTTTAAAAAGAGGTTTATTTTAAAATCAAGTGAGAAGGAAAGAGAATATATCAAAATGACAGGAAGGAAAGGTGTCAATTTCTCTTTTAAAAAATGTTCCTGTTTTGCTATTCTACAAAATTTTGCAGAGTCCAAAGGAGAATTCTGACATTGGGCAAACTGGACTTCCCCCCCCCCCCCAAGAATGTAGCCAGTAAAAGCATTTTCATATTTCCTGTGCTAGACAAAGAAATTCATTTCCTCATTTTGTCTTCTGACAAACGACAATAGAAAAGAAGTGAAAAGAGAGGAGAAAAGATGTTAAAAGAGAAGAAAAAAGGCAAAAGAAAGAGAAAAGAGAAGAGAAGAAAATAAAAGAGAATTCGGGAACTTTTGTCTGACTAGGGGTTAGGAGCTGGGTTCATAGAGAACTTAAAGGCTGTTTATTCCAGTGGTGTCAAACTCAAAACAGAAATAGGGGTCACTAAAACATACACAAGAGTCCCCATGGGAGATATGTTGACTTAGAAAATGACATATTAACATTATCAATGACTTTTTTGTTTATTTTGTTATATATTTCTCAATTTCATTTTAATCTGGTTTGGGCTGAAATGGAAAGGGTTGTAGGCTGTATATGGCCTATGGACAGTGTGTTTGGTACCTCTCGTGTACTCCTTCACTCATGTTTTACAGATAATGAAAATGAGGTTCAGGGAAGTAAAGTCATCTGTTCAAGGACACACAGGCAACAGATGGCAGAGCTAGGATTTGAAGCCAGGGTCTTCTGGTACTAAAGCCAATGTTTTTCCCACTGTGTTATGCTATTTCCCTTGCTATGTTACCATGGCCACTGAGGGGTATGCAAGTAGTATCTTCAGCACCTGGGCAAAATTTGTTTATAAATCTTCAAAGCAAGCTACAAAATCACTAAACCTTCCCACAGTCCCTCACTCAACTGGATCTGCTCATGAGGGAAGGGAAAAGGAAACACAGCCACTTTAGGAAGACTTTTGGAAAGCAAAAGAAAGAATACTCACGGAACATTGTATAAAATTGTTGAGGATTAAGGTTCCATTTTCCCCATGGGGTCTTGTGACCTTTGGACTGGGCATAATTAGCATGATTAAATTCAGGTTCAGTACCAAATGAATCCAGTACTCGAAGCATGCACCTGAAAGAAAAATCCATGTTTTCTCAGAACTGAAATCTTTATCTGAAAAACCTTAAAAGCAAAAGACTAATTTATCCTTATAGTTGCAGCTTAAACACTGAAGTGCTTTTCTTTAAAAAAAAAATCTAAAAGCTAAAGGCTGTTGTCCCCTTGAGTTGCTTTCAGAGAATCAATTTTAGAGCTAGTAGTGACAGCTTATTTAGTCCACACCTCTTTTTACAGCTGTACAAACCGAGGTGCAGAAAAATTAAGTTATTTGTTCCAAGTCTAACAATGAATTGCACAACTGCGATGAGATCTCAAGTCCCCTATTCTCTCCTTGGCACCACAGTGCCTCCTTTGTATATCAAATTCATATGTCAATATTAATCTACCACATAGGCATATAATAAACACTATTTGCTTCAGCTTTCTCACATGAATTGTAGCTTATCTTTCAAATGCTTGCTTGCCTCATACTTTAGGTGGTAATTCTTCAATAAATACATAATAAATCATAACTTGCAAGGTGTGTTTGTGTGTGTGTGTGTGTGTGTGTGTGTGTGTGTGTATATCAGGGGGATTTGGGTCAAAGAGACATGAAAAAGGTCAAGCTTACTTCTGCTTTGACACAAAATAACCTTATTTATTCTGGAGGGTTTAAAAGCTATGGATGTGATTCTAGATAAGGTTTTGAATTTTGCTTAAACTACAAGGTAATGATTTTTAAGTATTCTATTGGAATAAAGTGATAACATGCAGCCCAAGAGCAAAAAAAAAAAGGGAAAAAATGTGTGCAAAGTACCCAATAAATACTTTTTGGACACACACACACACACACACACACACACACACCCCAGAATGTAGGAGTTAATAACAAAGCAAAAATAATTGTTTATTTTTCAAAGTTGATAACGTTAAGTTTGTCTCATTTTCATCATCAATGGCTGCTCCTTGAAAACAGTATCTTTTCCTGGACTCATGAATAAATCAAAAATTCTGAAACCCACTGAGCCAGCATGCTTTAAAGTAAATAAATCAAGACCAAGCCCTCTATCTTAAGGCCTGATGAAGAAAATGATTTTAAAGAGCCTGGCTCAGCTACTTTCCACCTTTTCCAGAAATATGGATGCCCACTACTCATGAGGTCAAATTTGAAACATGTTTTGTACTTCAGGGAACAAAATCAAGGGGGGAAAAAATCAAATGCATAAATGAGAAGAAGAAAAAAGAAGAAGAAAAAGGCGTAGTGACACTTTAATATGATGACTCCCCTATCAGAAAATACATTTAATCTTCCTAAAGCAATAAATACAGAAGGAGAGAGAAAACAACAACAACAACAACAACAACAACAACAACCCAGGACCACACTGGAACACAAGTCAACCACAGGGACCACTCCAAATCAATGGTTGTTATTCTCTGTATGTTACCACTGACTTTCACTGAAAACATTTTCAAAGCATCAATTTTCTCGGCATACCCCAGAACACTCCAGTGGGAATCCAGGGGATGCTACAGAGACAAATGGGAACCAAAGTGCTAGGAGACACGGAAATAGGGAGCTTTAGGTCTCCAACATATTTTTTATTTTCCATATCCTTTGAATACTGAAAAACAGTCCCTTTGTGGGGGCATTTTGGAAGCTGCTGTGGGCGTTTTCTAGGATGGGGTTCTTTAATGACCATCCACAATAGCTATTCTCATTCCTCAGGTCAATGCAAATAGCGAATGAGGTCCTTCTTTGTAATAAACAGCATAGGAGTTTCTACCTAGTGAATGAAAAGATAAATAAGGCATGGACCATGAAGGGTTCTCCTTCTGGCAAGTTTCTCCTCTTGATGATGATTCAAAGCAGGCAATCTTTACGTTTTCTATGTCAGGGACTCTCTGGACAGTCTAGCTGCTGAAGCCTAGGGACTTCTTCCAAGAACAATTGTTTTTAAATGCATAAAATAAAATACATAGGATTAAAAAGGAAACAGATTGCATTGAAATGCAGTTATCAAAAATTTCTTTTTAAAAACAAGTTCATGGATTCCAGGTTAAGAACCCTTGTTTTAAATGGTCTATCAACATTTATACAAACATAAGAAGAAATACTTTAAGTATGTATTGTTCACCTAAAAAAGAAAAGAAAAACCTTGTCACTTCTCACCTGAAATATTGTAAAAGCCTCCTAATTGACCTCCCTGTCTCCAGTCTCTTCCCCCTTCCCAATTCATTTTCCTCACAGCTGGTATTTCAAAAGTGTAGTTCAAACTATGTCACCATGTCCTACGTCATTCTTGGACTGAAAAAGCTTTAGCAGCAACTTAATGTACCTAGAGTAAATTATATTTTTCTCTATTTGGCATTTAAAGCCCTTAAAAATCTGGCTCCAGCATTAAAATTGCTGCTTTCTCACACACACTGTTCTAGGCAAATTGGCCCACCTGCTACTCCCCAACCCCATCATCGCTCATCTCAGCCTTTGCACAGACTGCCCCTCATGCCTAGAATTCACTCTTTCTTAATCTCCCCCTCTTAGAATCCCTACCTCCTTTGAAAGCTTAGTTCAGTCCCATCTGCTCTGTAAGGTCTTTCCTGAGTCCCACTTTACAAGAGATTTTGTAATGACCATTATATGCAATGACTGGCATCCTAGGAGCAACTAAGCATTAAAAAATGATGCAGATGTTCCATAAAATGGCTAAAAACTGGGGACTTTAAAATATTGAGGGTATTTTTGCTCCAAGGCTTGGAGTTTTATTTTTGTGTCTGAGGTTTGTCTTTTAAAGTAGTTGTCAGACTGATGGCAACAGAGGAAAGAGAAGAGATTCACAGGAAAAGGTCTCTTTCTCAGGAAATTTCTAAACTTACTATATTTTAGAACTATATTTAAGGTATTAATATTTATGCCTTCACCCTGATGCTGTGTGCCTGGCATATCACTGATGATTAAAAAAGATATTCTGCCCTGAGATGCCAGGAGTAAGTGGCCTTCTTCCAGTGAAGGACTCATATATCAAAACCAGACAATTCTGAAGCACCTTTCACTGTTTCTTGTCTCTAGTATCATTGGGTGACCATTCGTTACACTTCCCTACCTGTTTCTCATCTCTAATTTACTGCTTCAAAAAAAAATGCCAGTGAACTATTTGCCACTAGGACCCAAGTCTCCCACTTTCTCCAAATTAACCTTCTTTAGGTAGATTCTGAAGTGAAACATCCCAGGAACCATAGGCAACCTAGAAAAGAGGCTATTTATAAACCTCATTTTAAGTCCAAGTTCAATAGTGTTCAAGTGTTTACTTCTAACTAAAAATGAACCATTCTAAGTTAAAATTCAATATGATTTACTGGATTGTCCATTTACCTATCATAGTGAGGCTCTCAGAACTACTGCCAAACTTCCTAGATTTTTAGTCTTGCCATGGAACAGAGCTCCTGTGGCAGAGACAGTAAGAGAGACAGACTGCCGTTTAAGAGAGATGGCATTTAGGCAAGGAGCAATGGATAAGTTGGCATGCTGTTTGAAAAGACTCCTCTGAATAAGTTTTTTTTTAACCCAACTAGAATAAAACACCAAATAAGTGACCATTTCAATCATACATTGATGCACAAATTTCACTACTGAGGTTTTTGTTTTGTTTTGATGTTGTTTTGCACAATGACACCAGTTAATAGTTGTATTCTAAGCATTAAATATTCAGATAGGAATTTCTATCTAATATTTATCAGACATTTGCCTGGTGTAGGCAGGTAAAGGTGAGGGAAGGAAGAGGGGAGAAACCCAAGTTATCTAATGAAAAAAAAACCCAAATCCTCAACCTTTTAACTTAAAAATATCATGTGTTTACATCTAATTATATGAAAGATATTTTGCTTGCAATATATATTGCTACACTGGACACTATACTCATATGTACACACACACACACACACACACACACACACACACAACTACAAAGAAGACACTACTGTCGTCAAATCAATAGTAATTCTGACAGACAAATTCGTGATTCATAAAGGGAGGGGGAAATAAACAGGGGAAATCCACACTGGAAAAGGGAAGCGAAAGAGCAGACCCATCACTGCTGAAAGTAAAACAAAAAGGAGACAAAAAGAATATAATATCCTGTCCAATCAACCATCATTTCCTAGGGAATCTCATAGCCATGCTGCCTTCATTCCAGCCTTTTCCTCCTCCCCTCAGACCTCTTTCCTGGACCCCAGGTTCTGATTAGTGAACTTTCACCTTCTCTTGCTTGGCCACAGGTTCACTGTGTCACTTGCCAGCCATCTCCAAGACATGCTGCCATAGCCTTCTTTCCAATTCCAATTCTTGTATATGTGTTGTCTTCCCTTACTAGAATGGAACCTTCTTGAAGTTTTTGTATCCTCAGCACTGAGTATAATGCCTGGCACATAGGAAGCACTAAAGAAATGCCTCATTTATCCCAGCAATTGGCTTTGATAGCTCTTCTCAGTTGTTTCCAAAATATGCTACAGCACTTGGTGCTAATTTTCTTCCCCTTTCTCCCTCCCCTTTCTTCTTGAATTATAGAATATAAGCTCCTCAAGGCCAGGTACTATCTTATCAATAGAGCTCTAAGCACATCTCTAAACATACACTAGGCACTTAATAATTCTCTGGGGGAGCGGAAGGGGACACAGCATGCATCTTACTTACTTATATTTGCACCCCTAACTCTTAGCACAATGCCGGCATATGTTGTTGTTCAGTTGTTTCAGTCACGTCTGACTCTTTGTGACTCCATTTGGGGTTTTCTTGACAAAGATACTGGAGTGGTTTGCCATTTCCCTCTCCAGTTCATTTTACAGATGAATAAACTGAGACAAACAATGTTAAGTGACTTGTCCAGAATCACACTGCTACCAAGTGTCTGAAGCCAGATTTGAACTCAGGAAGGTGAGTTTTCCTGACTCCAGGCCCTGAACTCTATACTGTACCACCTAGCTGCCTGCCTGGCATATAGTATGGGCTTAACAAATGATCTTTCTTTTATTATCCAAATACCAGGCTTGTTTATTTTTTAAAATGTAAAACTCAGCTTTCATTCTAAGTATTTCTTATTAGTTTGAGGACAGATATCTAAGAGAGTGGAAATGCAAGAACATTTTACACATTAAAGAAATAAGACATGCGAGCTCCTTTCCAAAGTCTGTCTCACTGAACCCTCATTTTATCAGAGCTGAAGTAGGTATAGGGAGAAAAGAGGGATGTGAAAATGGGAAGTTAGAGAAAATGCCTGAAGCAAGCTTCCTCTTCTTTGGAGATCAATGAAAATAATGAATGGATGGTGAAGGTGGAAAGTAGCTGTGAACAATTTGGCTTTCAATTAGGGATAATCAGCCCAAATCAAAGGATCTTCTTTTATCTTCTCACTCCATACAAAAACAAACACCACTTAAATGTCATTGTTAAAAAATAGGCATAAGGTTTCAAGCAAAAAGAAAACACTTACTGGTAATGAACCCAGGAAGGGCCAAGGGTTTTCTTAAATTGAGCAAGTCCGACAATATCAATATAAATGAGTTCCACAATCCTATCACCTACAGTTGGGCAGCCAGATCTATTACCTACAACCCTCTTCATTATCCTAGGGAGAGAGGAAAAACACACAACAGACCATTTACATTATGTCATATATACTTGGATACTTCGGTGGCTTTTCTAATCAAATATTTCTGATAACTTCTTCCTTAAAGCCTTCCCTGATATCTCTCAGCATCTGTTTAGCTCTTTGTCTCTCTCTTGACCATGGCACTTAGATGCTAGTCATGTAGCAGAAAGCTCACTAGAATTAGGAGTCAGAAGATCTGGGTTTGAGTCTTAATAATGGTATTCTTAGACTATCAATTTAACCTCAGAACTTTGTTCTTTCTATAAAATGGGTCTAACATCTGCTATACCTACCCCGTATGTATTGGTGGAAGTGTTTGATAAACTCCAATGTCCTATATAAATAATTTCTTAAAATTATAATCACCATTATTGCATTTGTCAAGAACTATTCATTGACAGTATTGCTGTGGTTGGCATGATGCTAGGTGCTAGTTATACACATGTGGTCCTGCATCACCTGGTACTTTAGCAAATGTCATTTTTTTTTCTTCCTCACCTGTTCTTAATAAAAAAAGTAACAAGAGGCTCTTCATACTGCTTTCTAAAATGTTCCTTTCCTTGCAATTTCATGTATAAGTTAAATTCAAATCCATTGGGATTTTTTTTCCATATTCCACCCAATAATAACTTGGCAGCTTGGGTCAGCCTCTCTAAAGGCAGTTCATCCAGTGTATGAGTGGAAAGAACTGATGGATGTGTCTGTGAGAATGCTTAGCCAGCTGTGTCAATCTAAAAGGGATTAAGAGACTGAGAGAGAGAGGGAAAAAGGAAGGGGAAAAGGAGAGGGATGGAAGGAGAAGCAAATGTCAGTTAAATAGGAACACAGCAGTTGACAGACTTGGAGTGGAAAGTCCACTGACTTAAAAAGTCCAGGCTTTCAGAAAATTTGCTCTTCCCAAATTAAATTATAAACAGGAACTTGCCTTGTTTTAAGATATAAAAAAGCTTGATGCTGAATGGGAAACGGTATGAATTTCAGCAAGAGACAGGGAATTAGTAAAGTCAAGAATGCATTGTGTAGCAGATGTACGAAGCACCTGTAATAGCAATGAATAAGCTCCTTAGTTTGAATTTTCTTGCGTTCATTTATGAAGCCTCCAGAGCCTGCAGCTACAATGAAAACACATCATCCTTTTCACAGTGTATGTATTTAGCTCCTGAAAATAATCTTCTTATCTCCTGTTTAGTGAATTATCACTTTCATTTTTCTCTGCAAGAAATTACACACTAATAGAAGCTTCAAGAGTTTACAATTTCTTTTTTTGTATTCCAGCTTCAAAATTGAAAAGTAATCTCCTTACTCCTTGAGCTCAGCCAGTGAAGCTGAAATCCTAATGTCATGGCCCAGTAAGTAGAGAGATGTAATTAAATCACTCCACTGAACTAATTCACCAAGTGGGCCTCCACTAAATGCATTCTCTGCAATCTTGAAGCCAGATTCTTTGGTCAGGAGTCCCAGGTGAACGAGAATCTGAAAAATAAGACACACAGATAGGCTCATGTTGAATTAACATCCCAATTACTCAAGACACTTCCACCACAAAACTCAGTACTTGATAAAGTGCCCAAAAACAGTGTTCACATTTAGAGGCTTTATTTTCTAAGAAGAGAGGAAGAAAATAATATATGAGATGGAGGATCAAGGTCTACTACTCTACACTTTGCATACAGAACAGTACTTCCTAGCTGAGGTATTAAAAAACTCAAGTCACTTTTAAAAAGGATATTGAGAAATCACATTTAATAAAGAGAAGTGTAAGTCCAAACAAGTCTATGTTTTCACTTTACACCCAGTAAATTGGCAAAGATGACAAAAGATGGCAATAGTCAATGTTGAAAGGGTTGTGAACAGATAAATACTAAACCATTGCCAAAGGAGCTATAAACTGGACCATCCATTCTGGTACCCAATTTAGAATTACTCTAAGTGACAAAAACATTAGTGATCTTTTACCCAGCAATCCCACTTATAGTCATATGCCACAAGGAGGGCAATGATAAAAAGCAAGGTTCAATTACACAATAAAATATTTATAGCAGTGCTCTAATAGTAGCAAAGAATTAGAAACAAAGTAAATGCCCAATCTGGGAAATAACTAAACAAATTGTGATGCATGAAAATGACGGAATATTACTATGCTGCAAGAAACAATAAATATATTGAACACAAAGAAAGGTTTGATTATACAATAAGGCATTCACTGCGGATCCAAGCATACTATTTGCTGTTTTTTTTCTTCTGCTGTGTTTCATTTCCTCTTTCTGGTGGTTCCTCCTATTGGTTCTAATTCTTACTTACAACATCGCTAATGTGAAAATAGGTTTAATAGGAATGTATATGTATAGCCTATATAAGATTGCGTGCCGTCTTGGGGAGGGAGGGGGAGAAAAATTTAAAATTCAAAAGCTTATGGAAGTGATTGTTGATAAACCAAAATAAATTAATTTTTTTAAAAAAATAAGGCATTCATAACAGTGCCTTTATAGTAGCAACGAATTACAAACAAAGTACATGCCCAATCTGGGAAATAACTAAATGAATTGTGGCACATGAAAATGATGGAATATTACTATGTTGTAAGAAATAATAAATACGTTGATGACAGAGAAGCATCTGAAAACTTGTGAACTGATGCAAAGTGAAGTAGAACCAGTAAAATAATATATATACTAACTAAAATAATGAAAATGGAAAGAACAAAAAAACACAATCAAAATTATTTGAAATAACAGTAATCAATGCCATAGTGGACAAAATACTGTACTTGGAGTCAGAAAGACTCTATGGTCAGTAAACATATTGCTAAATTTCCAGAAATCTGTTTATTCCTGATGTTTGAGAGGACCATAATTTGGGAAAAAGAACACAAAAATAAGCTGAATAAAAGATATAGCAAATTCACCCTGAGGGACTATCATTCTTAACAGCACACATTTCTTTCTTGGACCTATTTCAAAACAGAATCAAACTTAAAAGGAAAACTGGTGACTGTAACAAAATTAATAAGAAACTCACTTTTTTCCTTTTTCTCTTCTCAAGGTTTTGCTTTTCTGCCAATGATTTAATTGCTTCAATCCATGCACCAGCCATTCTTCGGATCCTTAGTATCATCCATCGGAATTCTTCATGCCGTTTCATCATCCCATAGAGTAGATTAAAATCCGTACGAATTTCAGCCTATGAATAGATGATTAACAGAAAAAAGGGAAATGGAGGGCGGGGGTAGCTGCCGACCCCAAACATTTGGAAGTGTGATGGTTTTTATGTGGCGACATTTCATTCTGAACTTGAGAGGCTTAATTAATATTGGATAAGTCTCCCCCCCTTTTTTTTAAAGTCTCCTCTTTTGTACAACTTAACTTTAAAGACTCAGGATTGTCAATTGAAATGAAGGAAATTGACCTTCTAAGGCATACTATGAGAAAATTAGATATCAATCAGTTTTTATTAAATGAATTTTATTCAACGTCATTTTAACTAAATGGGTTGCCAGTGCACATGAGACATTTATGGAGAAACAAACAAAGAAACAACTAGTGGATCTATACAGCACCTCCTATGGGATAGTTGAGTACCCTGAGGATTAGAGGAAATTTCCACAATTTATCCTGCTTTCTGTTTCTAAGGAATTCATGTACAGTTCTATTGTATGAAAGGGAAAGGTTATGAGAAGAAGCAGAAGGCTTTGCTTTGGTCCCTGACCAACCAGGACAACTCTTCTATAAGTAAGTTCTAAATACAAGATACTTGATATTGGTATGGTTATTTTTGGGGGGGGGCAGGGAGGAAGTGACCTATGACTTCATTGAGGTAGGGAACTCCTGGTGAGAAATCATCACCTACCAATGAACATCTGCAACTATTTTATAGCTTAGAGTTTTAGAGAATTACCTTATTCCCAATAATTTGTATTTGCTGATATGTGTAAATGATATTCCCTCCCCACTGCCCTCCTACCTCAAAAGAGGCAAGAAATGTTTAATGTTTTAGTCTTTGTAGTGCTGGTACCCTCACTCATAGCAAGCATGGAAAGATTAAGTGACTTGCTCAGGGTAACACAGCTTGTGTCTGAGCCTTGAACCCAGGACTTCTTTTTTAAACCTCTGAGGTTAACGCTATCCACTGGGCTGCACGACATCTCTTGGATATTCTTAATGGAGTTCCAGGACTAACATGGGGTTCCATATTTTATGATGAATGTAGTGAACTTTGAAAAGGGCCTGAAGAAAGCACCCTAAGTCATCAAAGAACTAGAAACCAAGACCTCGAACAAAAAGTTACTAATTTAAGGGGTTCTTAACCTGGGGCATGTGAATTTACAATTAAAAAAATATTTTAACCATGTCATTTCAATATAGCTGCTTTCCTTGGCAATTCTAAGTATTTTTAAAATGCTTTTAAAAACATTATTCTCAGAGCAACTAGGTGGTGTGGTGAATAGAACACTGGCCCTGGAGTCAGGAGGACCTGAGTTCAAATGGGGCCTCAGACACATAACACTTACTAGCTGTGTGACCCTGGACAAATTACTTAACCCCATCACCTAGCCAAAAAACAAAAACAAACCATTATTCTCTGGCAAAGAATTGAGGAGATGCCCATCGACTGGGGAATGGCTGAACAAGTTGTAGTATATGAAAGTAATGGAATACTATTGTGCTATAAGAAATGATGAGCAGGCAGACTTCAGAAAAACCTGGAAAGACTTATATGAACTGATGCCGAGTGAAACAAGCAGAACCAGAGAACATTGTACACAGTAACAGCCACATTGTGCGATGACTGACTTCAATAGACTTAGATCTTCTCAGCAATGCAAGGATCTAGGACAACTCCAAAAGATTCATGATAGAAAATGCTATCTATCCACACCCAGAGAAAGAACTAGGGCGTCTGAATGCAGATGGAAGCACACTATTTGCTCTCCTTTTCTTTTGTTTTATTTCTTCTTTCTTGTGGTTCCTCCCATTAGGTCTGATTCTTCTATATATCATGACAATGTGAAAATGTGCTTAATATGAATGTATAAATACAACCTATATCACATTGCACAATATCTCAGGGAGGGGGGAAGGGGAGGGGGAGAAAATTTAAAACTCAAAATCTTATGGAAGTGAATATTGAAAACTAAAAATAAATAAATAAATTATTGAAAATATAACATTACTCTGAGAAAGGGTCGATGGACTTCACCAGATAGCCAAAAGTTAAGTTTTAACCTAACAAAACCAAAGATCCCCTGATTTTGATGGGACAGTGTGAATAAAGAGTGGAAAACCCCAACAAACCCCCAAATACCTTACTTTCTTTTAAAACAATACTTTGTCATTATTCCGTCCAAAGTTGGTGAAACTAAATCGAGCTACTCCAAGCAACTTTTTAGGGAGTTATTCAGAAGGCATCATAGGTAAAGAATGGAGACATTTTATTTCTAGGCCTAAGCTATTAAGTGAAACCATTTCACTGTGATAACCCTGTTCTCTCAATTAGCCAGAATCCAGCTGTCCCACTGCCCCACTCCAGCCTTCCTGCATTCTTGGTTTCCTTAAGGTTATACTCAGAGGTTGGATGAGATAATCATCTAAAGGAGGCACTTCTAAATCCCTCCTGTCACTGTGCTCTCTCTCCCTCAAATTGTCTTGTCTTTGCTTACATACGTACATGATATTTCCTTCCCCTTAATCCCTACCCCCACATCACAGTAGGCAGGAAATATTTCTTGTTTTAGTCTTTGCATCTCTGGTACATCGCACAGTACCTCACACATAGCAAACACTTACAAATGACTGATGAGTAATGTTGTTCAAAGAGTTCTAGGGTTTTGTATTGTGTTTTCAATAGGATTATAAATTCTGACTGAGGTTGAGTCATATTTTCTATTAATTTCATATCCCATCATGTACATAGCAACTATAATAATACAGGACACACAACAGGTACTCAGTAAATACTGGTTAATTTGTGCAGGCCACCCATTAGCCCTGAATAGATCCCTAATTTCCATAGGATTGGCAAAGAAAGTTGTTCCTTTGATAGTGTTTTATCTTATAGCAGGAAACATCTAGAACAGAGGTGTCAAGCATGTAATCCTAATGACTCCTGAATGGGCCAGAACCAGATTCAAATGTAAACATTTAATAAAAATACAATAGAACACTAGTAATGTTAATATGCAGTATACACGGTTTAGTAGCCACCAGCTCTATTTCAGTTTGACAACAAAGTTCTAGAAAGAGTTAATTATAGTGAAAATGAATCTGATCTAAAGACATAAGACTGGTAAATAGGTTTTCAAACTTTCTCACCATTGAATTCTGATCTGGTTCTTCATAGGGATTTTTTGCTCTCCAAGGTAAATGAGGACACCAATTTTCAACCTGGAACACAAAAATGCAAAGCCATAGGTGAGTTGTTTTGTATATTAATGCCTCTCTCTTCCACCTTCCTGATTCGTTCTTTGGAAAAATTTACAAACTAATATTGGGTCAATAATTTCTAAAGCAAGAGGTCTAAGCAGCTGAGGAAAAAATCTTTGCTGTGACTGATTATAGACATGATCAGATAAAGGGCAAGAATGTCTTTTGATGGAGACACCTGTGGTGTCTCCAAAAGCTCTTTCCTGAACCCTTTTCATTTCCCTTTCTCTACCTCTCTCTTGGTGATCTCAACAGGTCCGTGGGTTCAATTAACTCTTTCTATATGACTCTCAAATCTATATAACCAGGGCTAATCTTTCCCCTATTGGTATTAAAGATATGGGTTTCTGTTTCTAGGAGAAATTTGGGATCATTAATGGAGTTTTGCATTTTCCTGAAAGTAACATTTCACCAGAGTTGTTGTATGGCTGTTGGCTATAAAACACAATAATTTGGAAAACAATGAAAGTCAATATTACACAGAGAGAAGTGAAGAGTTGCATTTTAGGTTCAAGGAGACTGTAACATAACGAAATAAGAACTTTGAAGAATAATAAGTAAAGACACAATCAAGGAAAAGTATGAAAAGAAGAGAAGATGGCTTGGTGATACGTCCAAGTAGATAGGTACAGTAGACAGCCAGAGTGTTCCACTGGTATTCCTGAGATATTGAGAGAAGGCAAGAAAGTCCTTCATAATGTTGAGTGCCATGAATTTGTGGGAGTCATGGACAGGACTTAGACAAGATGGGCAGACACACACAGGTTTCAAATGAGTCACTAGAAGGAACGTTCCGATTGATAACAGATCTAATTCAAGTCATCTCTCTCCTAAGCTACAATCCTACTGGTTGGTTATCTCTACCCAATAGGCCACAAGCATCTCAAAATCAAGATGTCTAATATTGAAATCATTACCTCCCTCTCTCAAACCTGCCTGCACTCAAACTTCTCTTTATTTTGAGCACCACCACCCTTCTAGTAACCCAAGATCACACTATCGGAGTTATCTCTTACCTTTCTTTCTCTGAAACAACACATTTCCTATCAACTACCAAGTCTTGTTGATTTGACCTCCATGATATGCCTTGCATGTTTTTTCCACATTTCTTCAGGTTTTATCTTAATTCAAGTTTTCATCATTTCTTGTCCAGACTATTCCAATAGCCTCTGAACTGGTCTCACAGTTTGAGTCTCTCTTTTTTTCCAATCTATCTGTCACATAACCATCAAAATAATCTTAAAGCACAGGTCTCACTATGTCACTCTCCTATTAATTTTTTTTTTTCAGAAAGAGACTTCCTATTGTCCTCAGTATGAAATATAAATTCCTCAGAATTTCATATTGTGGATCCAGTCTATCTTGCCAGACATTTCTTACTATTCCCCTTCACACACTGTACATACGTGCCTAAGTGGCTTTCTTGCTGGTCTCATAGCTTGACATCTCATCTCTCACTCTTTGTCCAGGCTGTCACCTATACCTAGAATGCGTTCCCTCCTCACTTCTACATCTTGGAATCTTTGGCTTTCTTCAAGGCTAAAATCAAGTGCTATCTCCTACTAGAAACTTCTTCAAGTATTTAATGCAAATGCTTTTTTAATGAATCAAAAGCCAAAGTTATAGCACTTAACTCTGATTATAATGTAGCACAGGATCTTCTTACTAAAATACGACTTTGACCTAGGAGTCAGAAATAAGGTTCTTAATCCATTGTGATTTTTTTAAAAATCTAGTTAGTAGAAATAAATGAGGGCTTCCATCAGTAATGCTTTGCTGTAAATGACTTGGATATAAAAACCATATAACACTAATGTGGGAGAAGAGTTTTTTGTCGGAGAAATGAAATGTATCTTTGTCCTTTTCTGGATCAAAGGAGAAGCAAAATGTATCTTTTCCCTTTTCTGGATCAAATTTAGAATTAATCATACTTACAAATGACTTCTGAATGTCAAAAAGACTGCAGAGCAAACAAGGTAGAATGTTATAACAGCTCTCCATATATAAAAAAGCAGCCTGTCTTGGATGTCCAAGCTCTGATTACTGGTCTTACAACATTACCATGAATGACAAGATCTTAAATGCTACAAATGAGAAAAGTGAGGAATAGAAAGAAAAATAAGCAACATACATAGAGAAGGCCTCGTTGGACCCAGCAATACTGCCTACATCTGTGCTTCATATAATTTGGCTGGACTAAAGAGCTCAGATCAAAGTAATGAAAGAGAGAGCCCCCCACCAAAACATTACTAAAAAGCATGCTTTTAAAATGAAAGCTTCAAATGGACTTCAGACTTCCAACACATAAAATCACCGAAAAGTATAGAAGAAAAGCAGAGAATCTAAGTAAACTTGACACTAAGAAAATAAAACAAAAAATCCTACTTAACTTAGGACCAGAGAAACTAAACTGTCCATAGGGGGAAAAGGAATTAAGAAAACAGAAAAGTAAAAAGCAATGTTAATGAGACCATGTCTCGAAAACTAAAGATAGCCTCTCCCTTCCTCTACTCCTACTTCAAATAAGAAAAATTCTTAGATTTGCTATGGTGGAAATGTTGCATGAGCCCTTATTCCAAAAGGTAACTTTAGATTAGAAGACAAAAAACTTTGGTTCTTTTATTTAGCTGAGAATGTATATCAGTTCTTCTTAACCTGAAACACTGGACAAAACTTTGAAAGTTTCTGAAAGCAGTCTGTTTAAATATAGAGATTAAATATGTCTGCGTAACTTTTAGCTAGGAATTTCAATATAACACATCCATCATGGTAGAAAAAGTAAAAATTCACATCTTTCATTGTGAGAAGTTGAATGAACAGGAGTTGGTTTTGGCAGACGAGAGGGAAAAGGTAAGAAAGAATCCCTAGATAACAAACTAATTAATTATACAAAAACCAATTCTTCCATAAGGAAAACATTTTCATCTTTTTCAAGTCTCAAAGGATTACTCAAGCTGGAAGAAAGCCAACACTGACAATGACTCCAAGTGCTGAAACAAACAACTCTTAAATGAGCAACATTTTCCAAAATAATGGCTTCAATTAATGGCATTTTGGGATAATACTGCCAAAGTCTAGTAACTCAATGTTCTTAATTGGTAACTTTCTCCTTAAAAACCAACTTAAGATTCGTGTGACCATCACTAGGCCATACATGGCCATTTTAAAAAGTAAGCCAGATCATTCCTAAAATGACCTCTAATTTGAGAGCAAAATTCATTCAATATGAAACAATCTTTTTAGTGCATTGGCTTCAGGCTATAAAATGAAGTAGCTAGAATAGTAGAACTCTTAATATATATTGCATGCAGATGTCCCATAAATCAAGTTTTCTCAGAAAGAACACACAAAATAAAACTCTGATGTTTAATAATCCTATTTCAAAAGAAAATAAATTTACATTTCTATGAGTAACTATGGCAATAATAATAATAATGATATTCAATAATAATAATAATAATATTCAATATCAAAGAGATTATCCTTTGAGGAAAAGGGCACAAAGTCTCCAAAAAAGATCAAAACTAAGTCACATTTGTATGGACTGTAAGAAAGACATATTCCATTAAATTAAAAAGGAAAGAGACAAAATAAATATACAAATCAAGTTGGAATAAAGAGTAGGATGATAAAGGGAAGAATAAAATCATGTCAAAAACCAGGAGGAGATTCAATGAATGTATGCATACAATGATGTATAATATGACAGATTTTCTTGTTGTCATTTCTCAAAAGTGAACATTTTCTAAGCTTTATTCTTCTGAATGAGTTAATTATACAGCTCTGTTCTAGTCCTCTCTCTTTGCAAAGATTAGTATAGCCCTTTGTTCAAATAAATAACAGACAATTTAGACCTGAGGTTTTTATAGGGTCTTGTGTTATATTTTTCAGTTAAGAAGAACACTGTAAACTAAATTAATTAAAATTCAATCTTTTACTTGAAACCTGATCTGGGTGAAGGACACAGCTGAGTCTACTTGTATCCAACAAGACTACAAGAGATCACTTTGAAAGAGATTTGGTGTGTATTCAGAGTTTTATTTTGGGGTGGGGAAAACTATTTCATTGGAATTTTTAAAAATTGCATTCTGGTTTGCAATATTTCAGAAAATAAATCCAAAAAATGATAGTACTGTGTCTATATACACATCTGATTTCACTAATTTGACTGACCAGTCATTACTAGTTTGATTCCTATTTTGGTTGAAGTGGCCAAGGGTCTTAATGCATTTTTAAGCTTTAATATTTCAAGCCTTAATAGCTTAAAACTGTATTATTAGTTTAAGCTTTAACAGTTTAAAACTGTATTAAGACTTCTGGGACACCCTGTATATGATCTTGGTCTTTGACTGAAGTTTTTTGGTTATTTAAACTTTACTAACCTAAAACTCCATCAGGACTTGGGGACACCCCTCTATTGCTGTGTAGGCTCTTAATTATGACCCTAGCTTTACTATCAGCATACCACAATCCATATCTGAGACTCAATCAATCAGCAGACATTTACTGTGCAATTACTTTATGTCCAGGACTGTAGACGTTGGGGGAGGGGAGAAGAAGCATAAGATGTGTTTTCTGTCCTCAAGGAGCTTACTAGAATCAGTTGGGAGGAACTAACATACTCAATATAAGAGGGGAAAATTAAAGTGACTAATTATACATTAACTGACTCAACTACAATACAAGTTTCGAGAAAATAAATAATGTAGGCTGGAAGATTAGAAAGAAGATCCACGGAGAAGGTGGGATTTAAAGTGAGCTTTAAATGACGAGAAATTGGAACAACAGCTTACATTTATATTGTACTTTAAATTTTGCCAAAGATTATAATTATGCTACTGCAATTGATAATCACTGTTTAGGAGCAAGTTTATCTGTATTTTACATAAAAGGAAACTGAGGCTCAACTATCTATTACATCAGTGGTGTGAAACATAAATAGAAACAGGAGCCACTAAAGA